TAACCAACTTAATCCGTGGGCAATGGAGTAGTGGTAGGTTTGTGATTACAACAGAAGCTTCACTGAAAAAAATCAATCAATAGTGGACTTAATAAATTATGGTAAATGCTTACAATATGTAATGTTATATGTAAGATAGGGTTTTATGTTCAGATGCACAAAGATGTCTAGAAATCAATTAAAATATGTATTGTGAGCTCATGTTAAGTGAAATAAAACAAGTTGTACAGCAGCTTATATGGCGTTATCTGATTTTTGCAGCAATATATACTTTTGGTAACTACACCGGCACATGTGCACTGGCTAGAGACCCATAATTAGAGTAAACGGCATCTACCTTCAGGTCTTCTCGGCAGGGTTGGATTTTCTATTGTTTACATTTCTGTTACTGTTTGAATTTTTTACTATGTGTGCACTACTTTTGCAACAAAAAAAGTTTAAGATTTTTAAAAAGAAAATGAAAAAAACAGAGAACAAAACCCACCCAGGTCTCCTGTTTCCTGGCTCTTTGCTCTCTTTGAAAATGCACAAGGTGGCCCCACGAGGCGACGGGAGCCGTGACAGCTGGACTGTAGGCGACGGGTGGGTATCATCGGCCGCACCAACTACTAGCCCTCACGCTCTCTGGGCGTCAGGACACCACAGTGCTCTGAATCGTGGACCCCGATGTCCTAGAAAACAGCCAGCAATCTGAGGGGCAGCCCATGACTTAAACCTCTGGCTTCCACGACATTTATGTTTCCCTGTGCCTCGATTTCCTCATTTATACAAGTTTCCTGGCGTGCGGGGTTCTGGTGAGAAAGAAATCATAAAAACAATTTGTGTTGTCCCTGGGGGGGGGGCCATCTGCGGCGCTGGCACTAAAGAATCCCCAGGGCGGCTGTGAAAACTTCCCGGCGGTTTTATGGGGACAGCCAGCAGGCAAAGTCCATCTTGGGCAGGTGCAAGACAACTATTTACAGCCTGAGAAGGCCCTGAGGCCCGCTCAGGAAACCTGATTACTCTATTTACGACGACTTTGTCAGCCAAAGACAAAGTGCCACAGCTCAGTCAATGGCAGAAGCTTCGGGGAAAGTGAACACGCTCTCCCGGGACCCTGGGATGGGCGGGAGGGGCTGGGGACAGACACAAATCAACCCCTCCCCTCCGTCAACAAGAAACATGGAAACACAAGGCTGGTACGCCACAGAGTGGAGACAAATGTGAATTTGGCAGCCGAGCCTGGGCTTGGGGGAGGCAGGAGACGGGTTTGCGATCGTTTTACACTGTGTGGCACTTCGGAGACGGTCTGAGGGCTCGTTCCCAGAGTCTGTGTCACTGTGGTCTGCTTAAAAACAGGGAGCTTTGCTCTGGCCGGTGTGGCTCAGTTGGTTGAGCACCTTCCCATGCACCAAAAGGTCACCGGTTCGATTCCTGGTCAGGGCACATGTCCAGGTTGCAGTCTTGGTCCCCACTGGGCACCGTGCAGGAGGCAGAAGATCAATGTTTCTCTCTCATCAGTGTTTCTATCTCTCTCTCCTTCTCCCTCTCCTCTCTCTCTAAAATTAATAAAAACATATTAAAAACAAAAATAGGGAGCTTTAGAAGCCAAGGCCGCTCTTTGCGGCACAAACACTAGTGAGACCACAATGGCAGGGGCCCTGGCTGGTCGTCAACAAAATGTTTCTGAAAGGATGTACGTAGCGGAGCGGGACAGAGGAAGTCCTGGCACAGGCCCGGGAGGGGAGGCACTTCTGGAGGAAAGCCCAGCAAAGCTTTCATGGGTTCTCATGGGGGCTGCAGGGGATAATGGAGGAATTTCAATTGCTCATTAAATACATCTCTTCCGTTTGAATTTTCACAAAGAGCATAAATTTTTGTAAGCAGAAAAAAAAGAGTGGAAATGAATATACACAAGGAGCTCGCTGGGCAAAGTGTCCTTTGCTAGCAGATTAATCGGCCCTGATGTAGGCAGAAAAGAAATCAATAATTTCTCTGAGGGATGCCCCTGCCATAAAGGAGCCTTGTAAATTATCTCTGGGTAGCATATTCACCGGCCCTTCATTTCTCAGCCTATCTTCAAATGTCAATATTTTTGCATTTCAGGTTTTCCTAAAGAGAGGCACACGTCATTCAATTGCATTTGCCAGAAATGGCAAACAAGAGGACTGGAAGCTTGCAGAAGGATGGGGCCTTCCAGCCACGGATGACACATGGCTGGGCAAGCTCTGTCCTTGCCCCCCAGGTGTCCTTGGGAAGGCTCACGTGACCAACAAGACCTCATAAACCAGTCAAATAATGCCTGTCTCCCTCCACTGGGTCTGTAGAAAATGCCTTAAACATCTGAGTTCATCCTGGGAGAGGCTGTCATGGTGGCAAAGAATTCGGGTGCTGGGTCTGACCGGCCTCCACACCTTGCTCCATGTCTGACGGCTGGCCAAGGCCCCCGAAGGACCTGTATCCCCAAGGTGGCCTCAGATCCTGCTAAGCAGCTTGTGGGGTGGGAGTGGGGAGAGCTGAGAGAGCTTACGAAAGAGACGATCGCAGCAAGAAACAGAACTCAGAAGCCCTCAGAGAGGGGCAGCAGGGCTTAGTGGTTAAAAGTGAGGCCTCTAGAGCCAAGCCTCCTGGGTTCAAATCCCGATGCCTCCATTTGCCAGTGTGTGGCCTGAGGCAAGGCACCTAGTGTCTCTGAACCTTGGTTTCCCCGTCTCCCAGGGTTGTCTGAAGGATTAAATGAGCAAATACACACAAAAATGCCAAGAATGCATTAAGCACTGTATCGAATGCCCACTACTATTACCGTCATTCCACAAGGTCTGGGGCTCTGCATGTCCTTCCTGCCGGCCTCTGGTGCAGAAAGCAACACGTTTCTCATGCGTTGCTTCTCCTTGGGCTCAAGCCAGGTTGCCTCCCTGTCTCTAGGCATTCGGAGAAGATCCTACTCATGAATGATCCGGGGTCTGCAGATTGCTCGTGCCTGCCCGGCACGTAAAGAAAGGCAGCCTCCCAGCATCTCTCAGGGGAACAGGTATGGCTACAGAGATTACGGGACAGACTGGAGCACAAGGGACACTGAGACTTGCCCAGAGTCACAGCTAGCAGACAGAGCCAGCCTTAGGACAGGTTTCCCCAGGGCAGGTTAAAAGGACTGGTTCCTCAACAATAGCCACTGTTACTTCTTACACACTGCAATAAATCATTGTCCACACACGTGCTCTCATTTGATCTCACAAGGGCAGGACAACCCTGGTCTCCCCTGAGCCTCGCTCCCACCTTCCAGCTCTGATCACTGAATCAGAAGACTGTGCTCAGATGGCCACGAACAATATTCTAAGATTTGAGGTATAATCAAAACCATCAATTACACAAGCTGGGAGAACACCCAGCCCTTTCCTTTACCTTCAAAAGTCATTATTAGGGGAATATTGTCCCTTTTTAAGGAAACAGATCTCACGATTGCCTGAGGCCACACAGCTTGTGGGCTCCAGAATGGGAACTTGAACTTGGCCTCCTGGCTCCACATCCATAGGAAAGGGCCTCTGGCTCACTGGTCAGACCCAGAAGATGGGGCTGAGGCAGGGGACACAGGAAGAGTTGTCCGCTCTTGCCTCTCCTCAGCCCTCTCCCCTTTATAAGGGGCTCCTTTGACACCCGCTCTTTCCTGTGCTCGGACCCCTGGCCTACCTGCCTCGCAATCCAGCCTCCCTCATCTGGGTCACAGACCCCTTCTTCCCCTCAGTGCTGGGTCTCAGAGCAGGTTGTGGGCACAGAGATGCCTCCATGGTCCACAAAATAAGGAAATAGGCCCTGGGGGGAGGTGCTGAAGCTGCCAGCACCCCGATTGGGACACAAGGTTATGTAATCAAAGACAAAGATCCCGGCTCACTGAACCCATATATTCTGCTCTCCTGGGACTGACCCATAGTTGCCACTGATTGGGTGTGGCCCTTGCAGAGAGGGAAACCACAAAATTCTCTTTCTCTAAAACCTGGGCTTGCAGCCGGGGGCTCCCTCTTGAAGCATTTCTCCCATTAAACATCACAAAGAGACAAACAGAAATCAGGGCCTCACTCCCTGTCATGAACCATCTCACTCCCCCCCTAGCTCATCGCCCCCCCCAGCCTAACACCTACACTGCTCAGCTTGCCCTGAAAGCTTTGCACACATGCCGCCGGCATGGCACGTGGAGGGGACGACACATGGAGGGGACAGACGTGGAGGCCTGCTGTCATGAGCTTGTGCTCACTCGTTGCATGAGACGCGAGAAAAAGGCTGCAGCTGCTCATGGCGCGAATTGAAAAAAATACAGGCAGAGGTAAAACACGCAGACACACGCCCTCTAGCAAATGCATGTTGTTTTACAGCCAGTTCTGTGTCTCCCACCCACTACCATGTGTTCCCGGGAACGGAAAAGGCAGATTGCGCGGGGGGGGAGGGGGGGCGACAAGGCCACACGCTGTGGGAAAACAGAGAAAAAGGGTTGTGACAACTGGTGGAAAAGGGGTGATGAGCTTTAGAGCTTTGGGGGACTAAAGAGCAGGTTGTAGAGAGAGAACTGCAAACAACTGAAGACTAAGTATTCTACAGAAGCAGCCATTTCCCCAAGGGGCCAACAAATACCATGAGTGCGAGGTCATTCCTTTCAGACACATGACCGCTTCAAGTTTCAGAATTACCCACTCACAGGAAATGGTCCACGTCAATAAAATATCAGCATCTTAAAACACACACACACAAATGCAACGTTATTTTTTTTCTAGACCAGTGCTGAATGCTAGGAAGTCTACGAGTGCCTTCATTTTTAAAAATATATGTCAGCATTTTTATCTGTGTTTCAGTGCTCGCTGGGCTGAATTACACAAGTGCTGACCTCTGTCCGGGGACATGTTTTCCTGCACTGCACAAAGCCACAGGGACACCAGTGGCTTCCCAGGTCCCCTGCACCTGACAGCCAGGCACAGCAGGGATGCAAACGCCATGGCGATGACAATGACTTGGAGAAATGCTTCTGTACTCACATTTGTCCCTGGGGAAGCCGAAGGAAAGGTGGGATTCGACTGAGGAAATGACCTTGCTGGAATGGCTGCATAGGATGTTCCAAGATTTGAGGCATAATCTAAACGATAAATCACACAACACTGGGTGAAAACCTCGTTATTTACTTTACCTTCAAAAGTCGTTATTAGGACATAAGTGGGAAGAAAAAATTGAAAATTCCCTCTTAACATACTGATTAGTGATTGTCATGATTATACTTCTGGGCATGCTGACAACCAGCAGAGCTTTATGTCTGAAATAGGTCAGAAAACGTACAAGGGCCCAGACAGCAGGCCCAGTGCATTTCAGTGTCCTGGGGTCTATCTGCATTATAGATGCATGAGAAGGGCGCAGAAGGGAAGTCTGGTTATTACAGAGAGGACGTGATAAGCCTTTGGGAAGCTGGTGTCTGGTTCCGGCTGCTGACCTGCGGGCCCTCACTCACCTTCGCTCCCAGCAGGGTTATAAACGGCTGTGCTGTTGGGAGAGGCACACAGAGTTCCCTCTGCCGAACCGAGCACACATCGGACACCAGCGCTGGAGAGGAGTGAAAAGGGGAACCAGTTACTCAATAAGTTAAATAAAGAATTACCGTATGACCCAGAAATTCCACTCCTAGGAACAGACTCAAAATAGTTTAAAATAGTTTAAAATAGATGTTCAAACAAAAACTTGCACATGAATGTTCATAGCAGCACTATTCACAGTAGCCAGAAGATAGAAACGCTCCAAATATAGATTAAAAAATTTATTGATAGATACATAAAATGCGATATATATACAGGGTGTCCCAAATATACACACACACACACACACACTCTTTAACAGCTGATAGCTCAATTTTGAAGATGAAATGTATTTTAATAAACACTGCCTTTATAATTATTCAAAGTATGTATATACTTTTGGGACACCCTATATACATACACACACATATATGAATATTTTTTAGCCATAAAAAGGTGGTATATGCTATAATGTGGATGAACCTGAAAATATTATGCTAAGTGAAAAAACCGGTAACAAAAGGCCCCATAGTACATGATTCCATTTACATGAAATGTCCAGAAAATCAAATCTACACAGATAGAAAGCAGATTAGTGATTGTCAGGGGTTCGGGAGAAGGGGAGGGTGAAGGGGAATGAGAAGTGTGTGCTTAATTGGGTGTGGGGGCGATGGAAACATTCTGGAACTAGACAGTGGTAACATTGGCACAACCTCGTGAATGTGCTAAATACCACTGAATTTTATACTTTACATCAATTTGACCGCAATTAAAAAAAAAAGGGGGGGGGGAGCCAGAGAAGACCTTTTTAAAATCATTGTGTTAAAATACACATAAAATTTACCCACCTAACCACTTTGAAACATATGATTCGGTGGCATTAAGCACATTCACCCTGTTTTGCAACCATCACCACCATCCATCTCCAGAACTCTTTTCATCTTGCAAAACTGAAACTCTCCACCCATTGAACAACATCTCTCCATTTCCCCTGTCCCCAGCCCCTGGCAACCACCACTCTGCTTTCTGTCTCTCTGAACCTGACTCCTCTAGGTACTTCCTGTAAGTGGAATCATACAGCTTTTGTCCTTTGAGGTGTGGCTTCTGTCACTGAGCCTAATGTCCCCAAGGTTCCCCATATTGTGGCATGTTTCAGAAATTCTTTCCTTTTTAATGCTGAATAATATTCCACTGTATGTGTCTACCACATTTACCGATTCGTCTGGTGGGGACATTTGGGTTGTTTCCACCTTCCCAGCTATTGTGAATAAGAAAGGGAGGCTTTCTGCATGTGCTCATTTCAAAACAACCCCATCCTCTGTCCTACATCCCTGGGCAGGTGTCCTCTCCTCTCTGGTCTCCAGTGTCTGCCTTTGCTCCCCATCTATTCCCAGCACGGCAGTCAGGGGCCTGCTCGGTGGAGCCAGAGCTCATCACGCCTTTGCTCAGCCCACCAACACTCCAGTCACACTCAAAGCAATAGCGAAAGTCCTTACAACAAGCCCGAGGGGCTCAGGATCTGGCTCTGGCACTTTCCGGCCCCTCACCCGGTGGGCACTCCACTCTGGTCACACTGATGCTGCCTGACCAACCCAGGGCCACACTGGGGCCGTGGAACTTGCTTTCTCCTTTGCAGGAGTGCATGTCCCCCAGACAGCGACGAGCTCCTTCCACCCCTCCTGAGGAGTCGGTGCTCAGCAAGGCCCCCTCCCCATTTAAAATGCAAGGAACACACATACTCTCACACATATACGCACACACTTCCTGTCCCTGCCCTGACAGTTGTTTTCTGCTTAGCATTTACCACCAGGGGCGCTATATAAATTCACTGTGTATTTTATCATCCGATCCCCCCACTGAGTATAAGCTCCCTGAGGACAGGGACTTTGCCTGGGCTGTTCTCTGCTGCTTGCCCAGCACCTACAATGAGGCAGGGCATAGGGCAGGTGCTCAGTGAAGATTTGTTGGGTGGTGCATGAACCTGTTCTCCTGGACAGCACTTACTTTTCAGAGAAGACCAGGCATTTCTGAGCATGTAGCTTCCCTTTCACATGCAGCTCCCAGTCCTAGGCCAGAAGGAGAGAAAAATGACGGAAGCAGAACTGAGTCCACGGGAAGGCAGAGGTGAGTGCAGGCTCCCCTGCCAGGCGGGATCTCAGTGTGCCCCGAGGCTGGACCAATCCTGCGGACGCATCTCCTCCCCTCCTCCGCTCCCTCCCGGGTTCCTCACCCGCTGCTGCTCCAACCAGCCCTCACTCCATTGGCACTACCTACACAGCCCATGCCCACCTTGGACGGGAGCCCAGATTCACAGGCCTGATTCCCTCTTCCCCTCTCAGGGGACCCTTAGTCCCACCAAACCTCCAACCCATTTCCATATCCAGATGGGAGAATCTGGCAGGTGCCCTCACAGTGAGTTGCAAAACTTTAGAAAAGGCTTAGGAGAGACAAAGGTGATGGAGATCACCTCTTATGTCAGCCAGCCCCCTCCAGAGGCTGGAGGTGAGAGGGTGGGTTCCACCTGAGTGACAAGATGCACTTTCACCGTGGGACCCCAGCAGAGGGGAATGACACAGTGCAGTGTGACTGCCACTAAGTAGGGGTCATTCTGAAATGCAGATGGGAGGAGACAGAGGCAGGATGGCTTAAGAGGCACACACTCTGGGAGGGCCACACCCATATTCAAATCTCCACTCTGCCACTTTCTAGCTATGGGGCCCCGGACAAGTCATTTCATCTCTCTGGGCCTCAGTTTTCACATCTGTAAAGTGAGAATAATACCAGTATCAACTCTGGAAACAGAAAAAGTTGAATATATGTTCACTGTTGTTATTGCTTTGAAATATTTCACTGCCTCATCAATACATTTTGGGGGGAAATTTATACTATAATGGACCTTTGTCTGCTGGAGTTGAAGCATTTTACAATTAATAGGAAGTGTCATGTGGCTCTGTCTCCATTTCGCAGATGGGGACGCTGAGGCCCTCTATGGAAATTTATCCAGGTCCCACAGGAGAATTTCTCTCTTGCCCGATCCAAAATTCTGCTCACTTTCCCCTCCTTTTAAACTCAGTACAATATAAGTAGTCCAGGAATAGTAAATTCTAAGTGTACCACAGAGAAAAAGCCTTCTTCAAGGAGGCAGAAGATTCTAGGTCCCAAGTCCCTCCTCTGTACCCCAGGCGAGATCACTTGACCCCCAATCCCCTCAGCTATAGACATGGGTAAGAATTTCTTACTTGTCTTAAAGCATTGGCCCTGGTACATTTCTGAAATTCCTTTTGGTTCTAATACCTATGATTTTAACCAAGGGCACAGATGGCAACGTTTCGTTACCCAGTCCCCAGAGGTACCGGTTCCTCCCCCACAGACAGGGAGAGTTGGGTGGTGGTGACGAACCCACCCAGGCTCCATCGATGGCTCCTAGACGGTCTCGGATGACTCACCTTTAGATCAAATACCTTCTTGTCACAGATGCTGCAGATGTGTGGCAGGTGGAGGGGGGCCACCCCGTGAAAGTCATTCAGCTCGTGAGCCTGCAGGGGCCGCATGGACAGCATGGCCTGCTCCTCCTTGGCCCGCCGACGGGCACCACTGAAACCCTGCTTGCTGTTGTTCAGCCGACCCCCGAAGGAAGGAGGGGTCCTGTCTGAGGTGGGCTCCTCGGGGTCATACAGCTCGTAGGGCTGGCTGGCGGGTGGAGGCCACAGGTTGGGGCCGGCTGTGAGCTCGGGCTTGCTCTGGCCCGAGAACCCATGGGGGCTGTCCCATTGGCTGTTTGGACCTACCTCACCTTTCAGGCCCCCCGCTGGCTCAGCCACAAAGCCCCCCGCCACGTGCGACCCTTGGGAGTTGGCTGCGTAGAAGTCTTTGGGAAAGGCAGCCTGGCTCTCTTGTCCTGACTGGCTGTAGTGTCCCTCATAGGTCACGCTGCCCGACGTGGAGGCCGAGGTTGGCAGGAAGAGGGGCTGACCATCTGTTTCGGAGCCATAGGCCTGGCCGGAGGTGGCTTTGCCATACTCGTAGAATCCTGCTGGGGTGGGACCCGTCCCGGTCTTGCCGATGCCCAGGAGGACTGCCGACTGGGCGGGGGTCTGCGGCATGACACCGCTGAAGGGGTGCACCACCACGGCGTTGGGGGGCTGGCTGGGCAGGCTCACCGACGGCCCTGGGCCTCGTGTCTGGCCCGGGGGCGAGAAGGCAATTGTGTTCGAGGGAAACCGGGCACTGGGCACGCTCGCAGCATGTTGGGGCACCCCGGTATGGCTGTGGGGAGCACTGATCACAGACGGATGCCTCAGCTGGTTGAAGAGAGGCTGGGACATGGCCACTTTGGAGAGGACTTGGTTCAGGACGGTGGCGGCTGCAGTGTTGTTGGTGACAGCTGTCTGTGCCAACTTCAGCCGGTGGAGGGTGAGCTGGGCTTGCAGTTGAGCCAGCTGGAGACTGGCAGGCGAAGGGAGCAGAGGGGTCGGGTTACTGACCGAGAACGGGTTCTTGTCCAGGAGCTTGGCGGCACTGCAGGAAGACAGAGGTCGAGATGCACAGCTGGCTCTCACCGAGGAGGCCAGGGGGCTCTTTCTGGGCTTAACTGTGGTCCCCTCCCTGTAAACAAGACCCTCCCCCACAGGGCTCCACCTATAAGTGAGTCTGCTAAAACCTGTGCTCACACATACACATCACTTAAAACTAAAACTCCAACAGAAAAATTATTATACAACAGAGTGTTCAGTCTCACTGGTGATCAAAGAGATATAAGCTATGACCATTAGAAACAAATATTTGTCTAGCTAAGTGGCACATTTTTAGAAAATGGAGTAGTGCTCAGTGCTGGTGTGAGATAAAGTGTTATGGACACATGTCAATGGCTGTCAAAAACTCACACAACTTTGTTGAAAGGAAGCCACGTAATTTAATGCACTCCTTGTAGCCATATGCCCTAACCCAATAATTCAATTCTACGAATCTATCCTAAGAAAGGGAGCTAAAATTCAGACAAAGCTTGATGCCCAAAGACGTTTAATAGTACTTCACTATTTAAGAGTCCATAGTTGAAAATTACAAATATCCAATAACAGGATATTTACACTGAGTAAACTGTGATACAGCTATGGGATGAAATACTAAGTAGACATTTACTCCTGGTGTTTAAGTTTCTACTTCACTATGTAATATTTAAGACATTCAAAACAGTGTACCTGGCACCGAGCTTAAGACAGAAAACATTCCGACACACACAATGTTCTTTGGGTGCCCACTCTCCCCATCCGGCCCTGACCCCCATTGTTGCCAACGCAGACACCATCTTGAATTTGGTAAGATCATGATTTACCCCCCGCCCCAAAAAAATTAGTGACATGAGAAAATCCATATACTCTAATGTCGGGTGACAAAAGCAGGCTTCAAAATTGCAAACAGAATGAACTGTGTGTGTGCCCACCAAACACATGTTTACCCTTGTTCTCACTTCCCATCCCAGAGCAGAAGGAATCATGCTCCCTCCAGCCCACTCTCAAACCCAACCAGCACAGGAAATAACCCAAAATGTACAAGAGAAGAATCCGGATTTGAGGTCACAGGCAGTGGTGGGCGCGCACAGACTCTTCCTCCAGGGGCGGTCTGTCTGAGCGTGTGCCTTCCGTGTGACCTCTGCTGGTTGCTTACGGTGCGTTCTGGACCAAAACTCAGGATGCATAAGGGGAGAGACTTTCTCAGAAGGTCTGGGATATGTGGTCACCACAGTCAGGGCTCTTTTGTAAGACCTTATTTCTTGGGCCTTAAATATCTCCTTTTAAAAAACTGATTTCAGAGAGAGGAAGGGAGAGGGAGAGAGAGAGAAACATTGATGAGAGAGAAACATTGATCGGCCGCCTCTTGCACGGCCCCTCCTGCAGCTCAAGCCGGCAAAATGAACATGTGCCCTGATCAGGAATCGAACCGGTGGCCTCTTGGTACATGGCATGATGCCCAACCAACTGAGCCACCCCAGCCGGGGCGAAACGTCCTTTCTGGGAAATGTGTTCGGGATGTTGATGAACTGCAATTCCCAGGATATTTGAATGGGGAGAATGGGGCTGCATTTGAAACGGGGATCACCATGGACGACCCGGGCTCTTTTCAGCACGCCCACGGAAGTGTGGAGTGGCAACCACAAAGCTGGGACACTGCAGACGAGGAAGGTTTCCACTGTCGCAGGTTCCGCGCGGTAAAAGTCTGACGACAATGAAACAAAGGAGAGAAGCTGGGGGGTGGGCATGGTTCAGGAGAAAAGGGGGGACGTGGCAAGTGTGTGGCATGTGTCACATCTCTCCTTTGGAGGCACTTTGAGGAAAGCAAGCTTCTGCCTGGGTTGGCGCTTTGCATTGGTCTAGGAAAGCGGAGGGGGGTGAACAGGGGAGGGTCTTATACTGACTGCGATGCTGCTGTGTGGCCGGTGCTGCGTTATTTCATTAGACTTTGGGCTACTCTCTCCCATCCTGTGAGGAATTAAGAATTCACTCTAAGTCATTAAAGAGAGACTGCCTTTGCAGGGCCAACAGCCCTGCTGTGCCCCGAGGGCAGGATGAGCTGGCTGCATTTTAAGATATTGGGGGGCTAGGGGTTCTAGGTTCAAGGTGGTCACAACCCTTTTCCCCTCTTAGCTGTGCTGGTTGCAGCAGAGCCCCGGTGGCCGCAGGGGGACCCAGGCACGAATCATGGTGGGGGGGAGGCGCTAACTGTCTACGTAGGGGAGGATATGAACGGAAGACGAGGGCGGTCAGGAGTCTGATGAGAGACTTCTGCTTGTGTAGCATTAAGTAGCTGAGCTTTAGAAAAGCAATTAAGCTTAACACAAAACCCTGCCCACAGGAGCCAGCCCTTCCTACCAGGTTTGTCCTCAATGCGGCCTGTCCTTGCTAACAAGGCGACAATGAGGTGCCAACTTGGTTTCCATGACCAGAGTGAGGAGAGGTTGGTTTTGTTTTTCCGGGAGAAGTCAGCTGTATTTTCTAAAACTGTTTTTTCTGGGCTGGAGGGAGCTCTTGCTGCAGAGTCTCCCTCACCTCTGAAAGAGCCTCCTTTCCAGCCTCGCAGGTCGGCCATGGGGAACGAGTGCCGTTCCGAACGCAGCCCAGGTTACAGGGGATTTAGCCCCTCAAGTCCAGCATGAAATAACACCACTTTCTTCTCGACTTCCGCTCTGCCTGGCAAATTCTTATTGCCCCCAACTTTAATCAACCTTGAGTGGAAGTGATTTCACACGAATTATCAGAGCTAGAGACCTCTTTTGGACCACAGACCCCTTCAATAAAGAGGAGGACCCATCACCCTGTCTTTTAGAAGTCCTAAAATTTTTAGCCCCCAGAAGTTAATAACCTAAAAGTCAGGTGCTATAACAATCATATTTTTGAACCAAAAGTTGGGGCACATGATCTGACACCTTAGGGGCTGAAGCGATGTCGCCCTCCTGCCTTCCCACTACCTTAGTTTCTCACTGTTCAATCACTCAGCACATCCTGCCTTGTGTTAAAAATAATTATGCATATGACCTTCTCCCTCCACGAGACCTGAGCTCCTGTCGACTTCCCCGGCACACTGCCTGGCACTCGGTGGACACTCAGCAGCTGCCATGAACAGAATGAACAGCAAGATACCGGGTGTGGCTCATCAGAACCAGGTGGCTTTAAGGAGATGTGGATACCTCTTTTGGGAGTGTATGTTCCTGTGGATAAAGGCCCTCCTACAATTCTAAGGAGAATCAAAGTATACCCAGAGAACAAATGGGTTTTGCTGCTGTACACAGCTTAAACTGCAATCAGCTACAGAGCCACCCACCCAGGGGACTATCTGCAATTCCCCATTCCAAAGCAGGTGGTCCAATACACTCTTCTCCCTGTCCGAGTCTAGGATTTAAAATTGATGGACAATCCCTGTGGTAGGCAGAATAATGGCCCTTGAAGATATCCACATCCGAATCACCAGAACCTAGGAAATGTCACCTTACATGGGAGAGGGGACTTCACAGATGTGATTAAATTTAAGGAGCAGGTGATGGAGAGATTATCCTGGATTTTATCTGGGTGGGCCCGACGTCATCACAGGAGTCCTTATAAAACAGAGGCAGGCGGATCAGAGTCAGAGAGAGATGCCATCAGGATAGAAGCAGAGGTCAGAGAGGAGAGAAGATGCTGGGCTGGCTTTGAAGATGGAGGAAGGGGCCATAAGCCAAGGAAATGAAGGAGGCCTTTCGAAATTGAAAAAGGTAAGGAAACAAAATTTCCCCTAGAGCTTCCAGAAGAAACCAGCCCTGGTAACACCTTGACTGTGGCCCAGGGAGATGAATTTGGTACTTTTGACCTCCAGAACGGTAAGATAAGAAATTTGTATTGTTGTAAACCACTACACTTGGGGAAATATGTTACAGAAATAAATAGGAAACTAATACAATTCATCAAGAAAATTATACATAGAAGAGGCTTCCATTCAGGACACTGGCTGGATCTTATTGGCATGAAGTTATGCTCCGAGAGGTCCTGGAGAGCACAAGTCCCCTGACCAGGTGTCTGAAGACCCTCTGGGAACTCAGCCAGGAGCCAGAGAAATCCAGAGGTCTCTTCCTTTTCAAAGTCAACTTTCTTACCCAACCGGAGCAATGGTAATCTGGGAAAGCTTGGAATTGCAGATCCTTAGGGATCAACTCATCCAGCCCCCTCTTTAACAAAGAGAGAAAGTGACTTGCCCAAAGCCACATAGCTGGGTAGCAGTAAAACCTGAATGAGAACTCAGATCATTCAAACTAGCTTTTGGCACCTGACAAAATAGCCCTAACTAAGTCCCAAGAACTATCTACTTCATCACCAACTTGTCGCCTCCACCCATATTTATCTGTTGCCCTCCCCTCTGTTCAGAGAAATACTGACTACCTTCGACGTGCAAAGCACTCGCTGAGCACCGGGGAGATGCAAAGATTCAGCCCCTCTGGATCCCTGTAAGCTCCAGAGGTGACAGTGGGGATGGTCCCACGTCTGAAAGCAGGTGGGACACAAAGCTCTAGGCGTCTGCCACACCCTCTCTTCTCCTAAACCTGCGCAGTGGCTCGGTTTGCAGTCATGCCGTCAGCACAGTGAATGACTTAAGCTGAGCACAGGACAAGAGCCAGAGAAGCCACCGCACAGCCACAGGGAGGCTGGTCCCCACTCGCAGGGAAGACGCACAGCCACTCGGCTGAGCCCGGCCTCCACAGGGCTCACTGCCCCCAGGCCGACCTTTCCTTTCTGAGCCACTGATTGTTACAAAGAGTTCACAGGGCATGATTATATTAGAAACTTTGGTTCCCTGCTCACTTAGAAAGGTTTTTTTTTTTGTTTCGTTTTGTTTTGTTTTTAATTAAAACAGCATTTCTCTCAATAGTTTAAAAATAAAATATAACATAAAAGAGAAACTGTTGCCTTTACAACTCGGGGAGATTTAGGACATCCAGATGAAAACTGTTTCGAATGGTTTAATCCCACAGTGCCAAAGGGTGCGCAACACATTGT